TCCCGATGTACCCATGAAGTACCCAGCTGCCAGAGCATGTATAAAAAGTACCCGGTACGTATTTCGAGTACCCGGAACGTATTTCGAGTACCCGGAACGTATTTCGAGTACCCGGAACGTATTTCGAGTACCCGGAACGTATTTCGAGTACCCGGAACGTATTTCGAGTACCCGGAACGTATTTCGAGTACCCGGAACGTATTTCGAGTACCCGGAACGTATTTCGAGTACCCGGAACGTATTTCGAGTACCCGGAACGCATGCAGCCTTATTGGTATGAGTATGGCAACATTTTCAGAGTACCCATGCTTCATAGTTTACTATTATATTCTAAGTTATTTTGTTCAAATTTATAATACGTTTCATGTATGTCTAACAAATGGACACATGAATTTTGGGTGTCCAAAAAAATTTAAAACATAAACACGATTGAAAGTGTGTTCAATAAGTGTTAGGAAGTGTTTGACTAGAGTGTTTGACACAGACACACCACCTTCTTAGAATGTCCATTCTTCTTAGACTCAACATGCATAATAAATGCTTAGTATTAGATTTTAGATGAAAATAGAATACATTGACATGATAAATACCCGTTATGTCCTCCATGTCCACCTTTCGGCAATAACCGTAATTTTGCAAAAGGCAAATCTAAGTCGTCAAAAATCTGCACACCAGAGAATTGTGAGTTTGGAGCTTATAGACAGAGGTAATGCTGACATCGACAAAAAACAATCAAAACTACTATACCACAAGTACTTGCTTCAGTGGAATCTTGTAATATGAAACAATTGCTCCAACCTTCAAAACGACAAGTCAACTAACTGTAATTAAAGCTTTAAAAAGTTAGTGAATTTTTATTTTTATTTTTTTCAGAGAAGCTTACTTACAGACTCACCACTTGCATTCATAAAAGTTTGTGGTTTTGCAAGCAAAACTGGAACATTTCCAATGTAACCTACAAAGGAAGGAAACACTTGCATTAAAATCAAGCATTGCAGGGAGTAGAAGCAGATTCATTCAGTTTCCTTTCTCAATCAACTCCTACCTTCTTTCAATAGTTTACACATAATATTTGTTTAAGATTATTATATAGGTTTATTACTTAATGGATTGAATTCCAAACAAACTATGTCCCACCAGAACAATTTCTAGACTCTTGTTCTACTGCCCGTCCTGATTCTTGAATTGAAGGACCATGGAGGTGTGGGCCATGGTTTTTCACCACATGGGATATAATTTTTTCCAAATGAGGCAATCACGAAGTAACTCAACCATAATTGTGACTATACATTGTGAAGAGAAGAAAGCGTGCAAGCCGTTTGGTTTGAGTGAGAAAAGCAAACCCCAATCCAACCACCATTCCCCCCTACCTCTTATATTGGGGTTGCACTTCATCCAAGTGTCATAACTCAGCTAAAGTCCAAGATATGGTCTGTAAGGAGTTCAAAAGGTGAAAACTTGATACCTAAAACTGAATTCAGGGCATCAACTTGTTATCTACATCTCTCAAAATATGCTTAATGCTAAGACGCACGAAAAAGACACGCAACACAATACAAACACAAATAATTTTTGAAAGATACAAGATACAACACATAGGGGATACAAACAAAATATATACTTTTATATATTTATTATATGTTATGAAGATTTTTCATTCAAAGATAATAAAAAATGAAACAAAAAAAATAAAATAAAATCTAATATAGCACTAATTTCTAAAATTTAGAGAAGGGATTTATAAGTATAAATCTACATCATTTTTATTTACTATGGGTGCGGGTACGGATACTGGTACAGATACGCTGATACGGCAAAACCTAAAAAAAATAAGATATAGGTACGACTGAGGTATGTCTTTAATCAATTTTTTATTTTTATGATTTATAGTTTGAGATTCAATATACAAATCAAAATTTAATACCAAAACTAAAAGGAGAAATTACAAAACCAAAAGAGAAATCGTAATTCAACAATACCAATACCAAAGCAAAATCTATAAGCTGTTTTAATGCCATTAAATAGGAGAAATTATAAAATAAAGTTTCATTCAAAAAGCAAGCAAAGCAAAGCAAAATTTAAAAATTTGAAGTTTTAGTTTTCACTTCCATCAACTTCATCATAGAGTAATATATCTTTCATTTCTGGCACATCAAATAAAGGATTTGCAATTTCAAGTAAATAAGAATTCTCTAATAAATTAAAGGTATTCCCACCAATGTCCCATAACTTGCTGTACTCCCGATGTACCCATGAAGTACCCAGCTGCCAGAGCATGTATAAAAAGTACCCGGTACGTATTTCGAGTACCCGGAACGTATTTCGAGTACCCGGAACGCATGCAGCCTTATTGGTATGAGTATGGCAACATTTTCAGAGTACCCATGCTTCATAGTTTACTATTATATTCTAAGTTATTTTGTTCAAATTTATAATACGTTTCATGTATGTCTAACAAATGGACACATGAATTTTGGGTGTCCAAAAAAATTTAAAACATAAACATGATTGAAAGTGTGTTCAATAAGTGTTAGGAAGTGTTTGACTAGAGTGTTTGACACAGACACACCACCTTCTTAGAATGTCCATTCTTCTTAGACTCAACATGCATAATAAATGCTTAGTATTAGATTTTAGATGAAAATAGAATACATTGACATGATAAATACCCGTTATGTCCTCCATGTCCACCTTTCGGCAATAACCGTAATTTTGCAAAAGGCAAATCTAAGTCGTCAAAAATCTGCACACCAGAGAATTGTGAGTTTGGAGCTTATAGACAGAGGTAATGCTGACATCGACAAAAAACAATCAAAACTACTGTACCACAAGTACTTGCTTCAGTGGAATCTTGTAATATGAAACAATTGCTCCAACCTTCAAAATGACAAGTCAACTAACTGTAATTAAAGCTTTAAAAAGTTAGTGAATTTTTATTTTTATTTTTTTCAGAGAAGCTTACTTACAGACTCACCACTTGCATTCATAAAAGTTTGTGGTTTTGCAAGCAAAACTGGAACATTTCCAATGTAACCTACAAAGGAAGGAAACACTTGCATTAAAATCAAGCATTGCAGGGAGTAGAAGCAGATTCATTCAGTTTCCTTTCTCAATCAACTCCTACCTTCTTTCAATAGTTTACACATAATATTTGTTTAAGATTATTATATAGGTTTATTACTTAATGGATTGAATTCCAAACAAACTATGTCCCACCAGAACAATTTCTAGACTCTTGTTCTACTGCCCGTCCTGATTCTTGAATTGAAGGACCATGGAGGTGTGGGCCATGGTTTTTCACCACATGGGATATAATTTTTTCCAAATGAGGCAATCACGAAGTAACTCAACCATAATTGTGACTATACATTGTGAAGAGAAGAAAGCGTGCAAGCCGTTTGGTTTGAGTGAGAAAAGCAAACCCCAATCCAACCACCATTCCCCCCTACCTCTTATATTGGGGTTGCACTTCATCCAAGTGTCATAACTCAGCTAAAGTCCAAGATATGGTCTGTAAGGAGTTCAAAAGGTGAAAACTTGATACCTAAAACTGAATTCAGGGCATCAACTTGTTATCTACATCTCTCAAAATATGCTTAATGCTAAGACGCACGAAAAAGACACGCAACACAATACAAACACAAATAATTTTTGAAAGATACAAGATACAACACATAGGGGATACAAACAAAATATATACTTTTATATATTTATTATATGTTATGAAGATTTTTCATTCAAAGATAATAAAAAATGAAACAAAAAAAATAAAATAAAATCTAATATAGCACTAATTTCTAAAATTTAGAGAAGGGATTTATAAGTATAAATCTACATCATTTTTATTTACTATGGGTGCGGGTACGGATACTGGTACAGATACGCTGATACGGCAAAACCTAAAAAAAATAAGATATAGGTACGACTGAGGTATGTCTTTAATCAATTTTTTATTTTTATGATTTATAGTTTGAGATTCAATATACAAATCAAAATTTAATACCAAAACTAAAAGGAGAAATTACAAAACCAAAAGAGAAATCGTAATTCAACAATACCAATACCAAAGCAAAATCTATAAGCTGTTTTAATGCCATTAAATAGGAGAAATTATAAAATAAAGTTTCATTCAAAAAGCAAGCAAAGCAAAGCAAAATTTAAAAATTTGAAGTTTTAGTTTTCACTTCCATCAACTTCATCATAGAGTAATATATCTTTCATTTCTGGCACATCAAATAAAGGATTTGCAATTTCAAGTAAATAAGAATTCTCTAATAAATTAAAGGTATTCCCACCAATGTCCCATAACTTGTTGTAGTCCCGATGTACCCATGAAGTACCCAGCTGCCAGAGCATGTATAAAAAGTACCCGGTACGTATTTCGAGTACCCGGAACGTATTTCGAGTACCCGGAACGCATGCAGCCTTATTGGTATGAGTATGGCAACATTTTCAGAGTACCCATGCTTCATAGTTTACTATTATATTCTAAGTTATTTTGTTCAAATTTATAATACGTTTCATGTATGTCTAACAAATGGACACATGAATTTTGGGTGTCCAAAAAAATTTAAAACATAAACACGATTGAAAGTGTGTTCAATAAGTGTTAGGAAGTGTTTGACTAGAGTGTTTGACACAGACACACCACCTTCTTAGAATGTCCATTCTTCTTAGACTCAACATGCATAATAAATGCTTAGTATTAGATTTTAGATGAAAATAGAATACATTGACATGATAAATACCCGTTATGTCCTCCATGTCCACCTTTCGGCAATAACCGTAATTTTGCAAAAGGCAAATCTAAGTCGTCAAAAATCTGCACACCAGAGAATTGTGAGTTTGGAGCTTATAGACAGAGGTAATGCTGACATCGACAAAAAACAATCAAAACTACTATACCACAAGTACTTGCTTCAGTGGAATCTTGTAATATGAAACAATTGCTCCAACCTTCAAAATGACAAGTCAACTAACTGTAATTAAAGCTTAAAAAAGTTAGTGAATTTTTATTTTTATTTTTTTCAGAGAAGCTTACTTACAGACTCACCACTTGCATTCATAAAAGTTTGTGGTTTTGCAAGCATAACTGGAACATTTCCAATGTAACCTACAAAGGAAGGAAACACTTGCATTAAAATCAAGCATTGCAGGGAGTAGAAGCAGATTCATTCAGTTTCCTTTCTCAATCAACTCCTACCTTCTTTCAATAGTTTACACATAATATTTGTTTAAGATTATTATATAGGTTTATTACTTAATGGATTGAATTCCAAACAAACTATGTCCCACCAGAACAATTTCTAGACTCTTGTTCTACAATTCTACATTAATAGTAGTAGTTGTCAGCAATCTAAAGCTCAGAAAAATGAACAACTCCTAGAAAGAGAGAATCATGTAATACAAAAACGGTCACTGTAGATTTTCCAGAAAAATCACAGTACAAATTAGTCCTTTAAACAGACTGGATTTCGAAATCCAAATCTGAATTTGATTAAAACAAACAAAGTCCATATCTGATCCAAATCCGCCACCACCATATCCAACATCAAATCATCCGAATCAGATAATTTCGGATATTTGATCTGATAACTTGACCCTATTCATTAACTTTCATATGATTGTTTATCTGTAGGTGTAACTGACTCTTTTTTTTGCTGATGTGTAATTTTTTGTCCTAAAACACTACTGATTCTAATGATGAATATTGATTGCATTGCATTAGCTATGGGAATCTAAAACACATTCAATACTTTGAGAGAAAGGACCAAAATGACACAATATATAATTTAGGGACCAAAAGTGTAATTAATGCTTAATTAAAAGGCTGGTTATTTTGTATTGAAATTAAAGGTGTAGAATTATCTACTTTTATGTTCATCTCCCATGTAAAACTCATCTTACATTTTGTCACACATAATTTATAACTTGAGCTAATCAATTGCACATGTACCTTATGTTAAACATTTATTCAAATTGCCTATATCTAAACCAGTATTACATAAAAAAAATTATTTATTTACTTAGTTTCTTTTTGTGAGGGCAGCACTGGCACAAGTTTTATGCATTAGTGGTCGGTAATGTGTAACTAAAACAAAATCCACTAACGCTCTCTTTCTCTCTCTCATACACACACAAAAAAAGAAAAAAAAAGAAAAAGAAAAAGAAAGGGTAACAACAATAAGCACCTTTTCCAAACAGGGCCCTATAGGAAACACTGCTCATAGATATCCCCTCAGCTTCAGCTATAGCGTCTACCATCTCAAAACCCACCTAGAAAAATTCAATCACACAGCAGTGTCAAGAAGAGAGAGGAAGAGAAAGCAAGAGTATGCTGTGATAGATGTTTATGATCTCTGACAGACATTTTAACGAGTATCAACCTGTGAATTAATAACTATGGATGAGAATTTAATACATAGAAACCCATGAAGGAGTTGATTCAACAATCATTTCACGTGACAAAAACAGGAAAGACTTGCATAACTTGCACGAAAACATATTAAAATGTTAGTTAATGATCAGTATAGTCAAATAATCCAAATATAGTTAATGATCAGTATAGTCGGTGGCCTCGTTTGGCATAACCTATATAATCCATCTTTTTATCTTTTTATCTTTTTTCCATCACATCACCTCTCTACTTTTCTGCACATCTTTTCGTAAAAAGACAAAAAGTGCATTTTTTTAAGACACCCCAAACCAATACATGTGAAGATGCAGCATCTTAAAATGTATTGGGCTATAGAACTTAACATTCATATCAAGTGGCCTACTTATTGTGTCCATTTACATGCCCATAAAAAAATATTTAATTTAGTCAAAGGTGTAGAATGTCAAAAGTTCTGCAAGAGTGTAGAATGTCAAATACCACATGTGAACAAGTCATGATTTTATTTGGCATGTAGTCAACAAGGTGACCCTATCATGATTAAGAAAAAAGAATGAACTCGAAATGCAATAATGTAGTAAAAAAAAGTGCAACTGATGACAATTGATGCACATTGCACAACACGGTTTCTTCTAGGTCAGACTCTGAACCTTCTTGTGAGTCTGAACCAAGACCATAGAAGATGTGCTAATAACAATGAAACAAGACAATTTGCCTAATAGCTTCTTTTTTATCAACACCAAAAAAAATTGTATTAAAGTTGTTGCGGATGTCTTGTATTCTACCTGGTTTGTGTTTATAACCCGTTTGTGATCCAGTTGACCCGATTAATGGGCAAATTACCCAACCTGGTTTCTTGATATGTGGATCTTAGTGTATATATATATATGTGTGTGTGTGGGTTATTTCGTGGGTTAGGGTTTGTATTGGTTACAAATGGCTAGGAAGAGAGACAACTGCTCCTTTGTATTTTCTCCTTTTGATAGTGAAACTAACAGCCGTTCTTCGCCCGTGGATGTAGGGCTTATAGCCGAACCACATATATCTTAGTGTTTTTGTGTGATTGCTAGTTTTACTTTCTCGTTTTGTTTGTTCTGTCATAACAAAAGTCTTAATGAAAATGCTGAGCGGGCACAACCCTTGTACAAACAAGAAAAATAAAAATCACAAAATCACAAAATATAGATCCAACACCCCACGTGCATTCAAGGGCAAGCACAGTTGAGCAAGAGAAACTAGGAGCATTGATATAATTCATAAATCTAGGGAAACATCAACAAAGATACGACTGGCTTTTTCAATACACAAACATTCGTGTTTGAAAGAGACATCTGAAGTATCAGCTAAAGTTGCTAAAAGATAAGGCTTCCTTCAAGCTCCTTTTTTTTTTTTTGTGGTTTTGTTTTGTTTTTTTTTTTCTTTTTTTTTTTTAATATAATATAATAAAAAGAGATAGATATATATATATATATAAAAGAAAGAAAGTTGGGAACAACATGATGTGTGCATTGGGTTGGGTGACCTTTCACAGTGGGTATGAGTTTGGATTTGTTTGTTTTTGTAGAGTGGATATGTGAAAGAGATTAAAAATGGTTTGGAAAAAATAAATAAAAATAAATAAGTGGGAATCAAACGGAGGAGAGAGGGGACAAGCTCACAGGGGTGTCTTGGCCCACGGTGTGAGGAAAACCTGCATGGGTTGGTTGTTTTTTTTTTTTTAGTTATTTATTTATTTATTTATTTTTTTGTTTGTTGTTTTTAAGAATAATAATAAGAATAATATATGAATGGAAGGCATGTGCGCATGTGCGCTGGTAGTGTGAAATGGGTTGTGCAAAAGTTGGTGTTGGGTAATAGAAGATAAGAAACAGAAATATATAGATATATTAAAATAATAAAAAAAAAGCTGAGTGGGGTTAGTGGGTGAAAAAAAAGATAATCAACAATTGGGGTTTCTTGAAAAGCATCAGGACCGAGTGACAGCTCATGCACAGTGATTACACCTTTTAAGCTAAAGCACAATACACATGGTCTGGTACCTTCACGCGGCTGACATTAGCTCAGCACCAACTTTTGAAGCACGCACATGAAGAGCTTAATCAGAGTAGTCCAAAAAAGAAGAGGCGTAGGCTGGAAAATGCTGGAGAGAGTGAGGGCTGCAAGCGGTGTAACTGTAAGAAATCACAATGTTTGAAGCTTTATTGTGAATGCTTTGCTGCTGGTGTCTATTGCGTGGAGCCATACTCATGTCAAGATTGCTACAACAAGCCTATTCATGAAGATACTGTCCTTGCAACTCGTAAGCAGATCGAATCCCGCAACCCGCTTGCATTTGCTCCTAAAGTGATCAGGAGCTCTGACTCTGTACCAGAAATTGGGGATGAGTCCAGCAAGACTCCAGCTTCAGCAAGGCAAAAAAAAAAAAGCAACGGGAATCCTGTGTTTTTTTTTTTAAAAACATAGGAAGATAACTCCAAGTGACAGCTCATGCACAGTCATTACACCTTTTAAGCTAAAGCACAATACACATGGTCTGTTACCTTCACGCGGCTGACATTAGCTCAGCACCAACTTTTGAATCACGCACATGAAGTAGGCCATGAGGCACACGCCCATCTGAACATGAGCAAAGGTAGCAGCTCAAACCCAAGGACTGGCGCTAGCAGCAGAACCTCCGTAAATCCAAAAAAAAAATCCACCTTCTACACTAGCGAGCCACTAGCGACGGTGATCAAGATGGCTCTACCCAGAAATGGCGATGGTGCCAACATCACGAAACCCAGTCTGCCAGGGCTGTAAAAGAACCATCCCACCACTCCAAAATAGCCGGAGACCTGGAAAGCTACCAGGGAAGACTGATAACCACAAAAACTCAACGCTTGTCCACCAACGAGCTGAACCAGTGGATGGAAAACGCACGACCGAAGCAGACAACACCGACGATGGTTTAGTGGCAGCGGAATCAAGGTATGTGTAGAGGTCCGGCGGGCAGCGTAGGCAAAGTTGCCGGCCGGCTGCCTGCCGGTGAGAAGGAAATACAGGCCTAAATCTTATAGCTCAGCTTTTAACCCACTTCCCTCTCTCACAAAAAAGCCAAAAAAGCTAAAAAGCAGCTTTTAACCATCTTCCCTAAACACTCCAAAGTGTGTGCTGATGCCTGGATGTTAAAAATTCAATGTATAAAGAGAATTGTATTATTGATTGATGTATTAATTTTTTCTACTGTCTATTACAAATGGTTCCTTATATAGATGTAGGTGTAGTGGATGGTGTGTAGTGGATGGTGATAGTAGTGTAGTGGGTTAGGTTTAGTGGAGTAGGTGAGGTGGTAGTGGTGTAGTGGGATTCAATGTATAAAGAGAATTGTATTATTGATTGATGTATTAATTTTTAGGTTTAGTGGAGTAGGTGAGGTGGTAGTGGTGGTAGGTGATGGTAAATTCTAACACTGGATTCATTTCGTTTTGAGGTTTTCAGTTATAAGAGTTGTACTGAAGTTTGTGCCATTGTCTTGCTGCGTTATCTATCTTGGTTTGAGATATGATATTGGTGTTGTTGTGTTACCAGGTTGCATGCTCAGCAAATACATAAAGCATACACCGGCTACTCATCATTAAGTTATTTGCAGTGTCACAATTTTCTGTCTTTTACTTGTAATATGAAATTTCAATTGATATGGCTCTTTGATTCTAACACTTTAAGAACTTTATGCTGCAGTCTGATTCACACTTTCAGATGATTCCTTTGTTGTCCTTCCCTTCAATTGTCTTCCCCTTCATGTGTTTGTGATTGCCATTTATAAAATTTCCTCTCCCTACATTGGGGGTGTTTGTTTGGGTTTTTTTCAGCCAGCTTGTAGCTTTTAGCTTTGGAAAAGTTATTTTAAAGATGACTGGAAGGGCAAGATGCAACAACGGAGGGCAGCACTCAAAGATGCTGCAGATTTAGCAGGGATGAATTTACAAAATCAAGTTGACGGGTAATTTTTCTCTTTTAGCTAAGCATTACTTGCATCACCCTTTTTTGGGATTTCGTAGTTAAAAGTATTTCATACAAGGGCCTTTTAGATTAAAAATTATTTGATCAAAATTTGGGATGAACTTTTATTTATTTATTTTAAATTCCAAGAGTTTGACATCTTTTAATTTTTAGAATATAACCTCAAATATAGAAGTTAAATTGTCCTTGAGGGAACATCCAGTCGGTTTCTTTTGAAATCGGTACAGGTTCACAGGAAGTTCTTCATAATACTCAAATAAAACTTTGATTTATTAACTATGATTTTTTGAGAAAAAAATGCTTTAGGCCTCGAGAACTTCAGGCGCAAATGGCGCGAATTTGTATTCACCGGTCAACCGGCCGGATGACCACCCGGACGACCGGGTGAAGCACTTGTCTATCGCGGTTGTCACATTATCGACTGTGGCTGTCAAACTCTTTGCTGGACGATCGGTAAAATAAAATTCGAGTCATTCGAGCCAAAATCAAGTTCAAGGTACGTAGTAGTGTTGTTTTTTGAGATGGTTCTCCCTTTCAAGCTATTTGAAAAGATCACATGAATTTGTTCATTTCCAATCATAAAAAATTGGGTTAATTACACCAAGATAGACCCCATCATCTAGTAGCCGGCATTACTGTATTTTATTTATGAACTTGTATATATTGACACCCTCAACTATAAAAACCGTACAAAGATGTGAAAGTGATATACTTTTAGTAGTTGAGGAGATAAATGATAGAGAAAATATCATTTCGCCCTCCAAACTTTTACGTGTTTTTCAATTTGACTCCCAAACTTCGATTAATATCAATTTTACACCTAAATTTTCAAAATTTTGATCAATTTGGCCCCTGTCGTCACATTCCATCTATAATTGGACGGAATGTGTTGACATGGGGGGTAAATTGATTTTTAAGGTATAGTTTGGGAGACAAATTGATTTTTAAGATATAGTTTGGGGGGTAAAATGAAATTTCTAATGAACTTTGGTGTCATGTCAGCATATTCCGTCCAATTGTAGACGGAATGTGACGGCGGGGGCCAAATTGATCAAAATTTTAAAATTTTGGGTGTAAAATTGATATTAATTGAAGTCTAGGGGTCAAATTAAAAAACGAGTGAAAGTTTGGGGAGTAAAATGATATTTCCTCTAATTGATATATATTTACCAATAATTGAGGGGTCTTGGTATTATTAGTCTTAAAATTTTATTGAAAAAAATTAGACTATTCTTCAAAAATTTTAATAACGTATTAGCTTACTATATTCTCATAAAATGCAAAACAGGGAAACAATTTATATTAGAAAAAATATTATTGATCCAAAATGATGATTGTAAAAGGCATTTTCTTTTCATCTAGGACTCGTCTAATTGTTTCAACAAAGACAATAAATAACATAGTCAGCTTGTTCATTATTGCATGAGAATTTATAATTAATTTCAAGTCATTGCATTTTTATTTTTAACCTTGATCTTGTCTTTAGAATCGAGTCAAAATTTATCCACAAAATTGTAGAAGTTGTTTCAGACAAACTAAGACGCACAATCTTAGGCAATTCCCCCTACTTGATTGGAATACATTCTCGAGCCAGAAATATTGGGCTTTGGTTATGAGATGGGTCTAGTGATGTTGGTATAGTCACAATTTGTGGGAATAGGGAAGACAACCATTGCCAAATTTTTATATAATTCAAATTGCTCAAGGTTCAAAGGTAGCAGTTTTCTTGCAAATGTAAGAGAAACTCTAAAACAACCAAATGGTTTACTTCAATTACAAAGACAACTTCTTTCAAATATTTTAAAGGGAAGAAAGAAAAAGTTGTATAGTGTTGAAGAAGGAATTGTTAAAATTAAAGATGCATTACGTTGCAAAAGAGTTCTTATAATTCTTGATGATGTGGATACAATAGACCAACTAGATGCAATACTTGGAATGCGAGATTGGCTTTTTCAAGGTAGTAAAATCATCATAACCACTAGACATGAGCGGTTGCTAAGGGCTCATGAAATTTGCCACATTCACAAGGTTGGAAATTTGGATTACAATGAGTCCTTAGAGCTCTTTAGTTGGCATGCCTTTAGGAAAAACCGTCTCATTGATGGTTTCATAGAGGTCTCAGAAAGGGTGATACAATACTGTGGAGGGCTTCCATTGACTATAAAATTTTGGGTTCTTCTCTGTCAGGGAAAAGCTTAAATGTCTAGAAAAGTCAATTGGAGAAATTGAAAGCGATTCCTAATTATCAAGTCATTGAAAAACTCAAAATAAGCTATGACACTTTACAGGATGACCACGACAAAAATTTATTCCTTCATGTTGCTTGTTTCTTTGTTGGGATGGATGAAGATTGGGTAGTTACAATTCTAGATGGATGTGATTTTTATACAATGGTTGGGATTCAAAATCTCATTGATAGATGTCTGTTAATGATTGATAAACACAAAATGTTGGTGATGCATCAATTGGTTCAAGAAATGGGAAAAGAAATTTTTCGTCAAGAATCACCTAAGGAGCAAGGAGAACGTAGTAGACTTTGGAATCATAAGGATTCCTTCAATGTCTTGAGAGAAAATACTGTAAGAATTAATCCTTCTCCTCATTTATATTTGTATGTATTTCTGTAGTTATTTACTAAACTTCATACCAAAATAATAATAATAATAATAAATCATTTACATTGGTGGGTTTTTTTTTTTTAAAATGAAAAAGTTAAATCATTTTATATGAGAATTGTGTATAAAAAATAAAAAATAAAAAATTGTTTGTATAGCATTACTCTTCTTGATCAATGTCATCTCCCTATCATTCTTTGTTAGGGGACAGGAAAAATTGAAGGTCTTATACTTGATATGAATTTTTTGGAAGATAAATATAACAGGACAATCTTTGGTGTCAATAGAAAACGTCATTTTGAAGAATTCCTCGGCACATCTTTGATGTCAAATGTAGGAAATTTGTTTAAAAGACGTCGTTTTGGCATCTTCTCCTGGAAGACAGTAGGCATTGCTCTACGAAATTCAAATAAGATAGCTTCGGAAATGGATGCATTTGCAAGGATGCACAAACTAAAACTTTTGCAACTAAAAAATTTACAAGTCAATGGAAGCTTTGAAAATTTTCCGAAAGGATTACGATGGTTGTGTTGGCATGGATTCTCTTTCAACTCTATATGCGATGATTTCCATTTGGATAGCCTGGTTGTCCTTGACATGCAGTATAGCAACTTGCAAAAGGTTTGGGAAGGAACCAAGGTATGTCACTCATTGTTTGTTTCATTTCAATTTTGTTTGAGAATTAAAAGAAACAATAACCAACATTTATTTCTATTATAGTTTCTCGAGTCATTAGAAATCCTTGACCTTAGCCATTCCCATTGCCTTTCCGAAACTCCTGATTTCTTTCAAGTACCCAATCTTGAGCAACTAATACTTGAAAATTGTGCACGGCTGGTAGAGGTTCATGAATCTGTTGGACACCTTCAGAGACTTGTTTTATTAAATTTAAAAGATTGCAAAAATCTAAGGAAGCTTCCAAGAAGCATTGATATGCTAAAATTTTTGGAAACACTTGACATCTCAGGTTGCTCAAATATTAAGGAATTGCCAATAGAGATGAGGACTATGGATTCTTTAACAAAGTTCATTGCAGATGGAATTGTCGTAAGTCAATTACTCTCTACCACTAAGGAGGTCAAACCATGGTATTCATTCATCTGGCCTTCTCTATTGAAACCAAGAAAAAGTGTAGAAATTTCATGTGCTTTTTAGCACGGCATTTGGTACACTTAAGTCTTGTGGATTGCAATTTATCAGAGGATGCTTTTCCAAAGGATCTTAGCAACCTATTCTCATTGCAGATATTAAATCTGAGCAATAATCTATTTTGTAGCCTCCCGAATTGCATCAGAGGTCTTACTGGACTTCAGATCCTTGAATTAGTTGAGTGTAAAAGGCTTCAATCACTTACAGTGGAGCAGAATTTGAAAGTATTGTCGGTCAGTAAATGTACATTGTTGGAGAAAGTAACATATCAATCATTTCCATCTACCACAAAATTCAAGAACCTTTATGATGCATATATAACGTGCCAGAATTCGGGTGAGTTGTACCACTCAAAATGTGCGTTGCATTTAACTGCATCAACCATGCAATATAATAACATATGGGAGAATCAATTTGTTGCGATGGACCATTGGAGACCATTTCTATTCTTCGGTATGTGCAACAATTTAGTGGAGGTTATGGGCTCCTTTAAGTTAGAACCCATTAGGAATGTTGACTTGGAGATAATGAATAATTTGGGCTTGCCCAACTTAGGATCCATGGGAAGACCAACTGTTACACTTTCAATATGGTACTCAGAGATAGTTCAAAAACGAAAGAGATGGTACTCAGATTCAAGGAAGCTTCCTCTACAGGTCTCTCTCTGTCTCTCTCAAAACAAACAAAAATAAAAAAATTGTAATGGTTAAATTATGGTTTCTTTGGTACAGGGATGTCATGAAGAATGTATATTTTACACTTATCTTCCGGGAAGCAAGATTCCAGCTTGGTTTAATCTTAAAAATACAGGATCTTTAATATCTTTTACCGTGCCATCGCATTTTAGAATTCAAGCCTTGAGTGTGTGTTCTATTTATGCACTCTCCAATAATACGAAAGATCCTGACTATAAGCGTAACGCACATACTATTATCAATAATACAACCAAGAATCTGATTTGAAGTCATTCCCCCCATGTCTTTGGCATTCCAAAAGCTGATGAGGATATGATGTGGTTAAGTTGTTGGAAGTTTGAAAATCAGTTGGAAGGTGGCGATGAACTGAATATTTCAGTGGTTGGAGATGAAGATTTTCAAGTGAAGGAATTTGGAGTCCACCTTGTGTACAAGGAGCAAGAAGAGAAGAGTAGCCAATCAACTAGTGAAGAAGCATCCAATTACAATTCTCTCTCTATGGAAATGTCCTTCCTGGAAATGCGTCTACAGTACATCTGGCGAGCAGAAAAGTTTTCCGTCTTGGCAATCATTGGCTGGATTGTTCGATTTGTGATGGTCTATAACCTCAAACTTTGTGCACTAACTCGGCAATTGGTTGATTCGGGACTAGTGAGAGATTCGGTAGGCAATAATTCTTGCTCTTTCTCCTTACAATTATGTTATGTTGTGTGATGTTAATATGTTATATGCTGGATATTCTTCATGATGTTGAGGAATTTGAATAACTACCATGAATTTTCGTTCTTTTCTCTGCTTTTGTTGAAGTTGTTACTGGGTTATTTATTTTACTTTGGAAGTACTGATATGTACTTTGCTAACCAGTGGCAATTTCAAGCATGGAAGAGGAGGTATTCTGCTTTAATTGGTTTGGACATGGATGTGCTCTCTGGGGAGTCAATTCATTCATTGACAAAGAGAGTAGTTTGCTAATGACTAGCTATTCATCTTCGTCTTACTGGTTGGATTTTATCGCTTAGTCTCTTGACAGAAGACTTTGTTGTTGATTAGTTAGTTTGAGAGGGTGTTTTGTAATTTGCTTTTTGTTTGCCTCTTCTTTCCAATCATGATCATTTTCTTTTTTATTTGTTTGTGGTTAAGGTGTTTGCTCACAATTGGTTGAGGGTATGTAACAATCTAATTGAGATGCGCCTTTTTTTTCATAAATCTCTCACCTTAACTAATTTGTTGGTGTTTGATAAAATTGAATGGTAAATTTTTTAAATTGAAAAAATGTTTGATAAAAATTTAAGTGATAAATTCAAACAAGTTGTTTAATATGAATAAAATAAAATTTAAAATTTATTATTTTTTAATTTTGTCATCTAATTTTTATATTAAGGTGATGATGGTGGAGGTGGAGGGATAGTGTTGTGGGGATGGTGAGGTGGTACGCGATAGTAAAATCATTCAGTATTAAATAAATGTTATATTATTTTAATTTTTCAAAATTTTAGTTTACATTATAGAAGTCATTTAAATTTTTAAATCATATAAATAGTGGTTATCAAATTGACTTAATTAATTTTCACTCAATACATTTAATTTCAATTTTAATTATTAAATTAAATTATCAAACAATCTTTATTGACTCATTGTAATCCTCTACACCGACCGCTTAAAAAATTGAAAACCTGTTAATGAAACAGAGTCATTAAACTTATTAAATAATATTAGGTGTCTACACCACCTACAATGTTTTCCAACTCTCCTCGTCGACACACCAAATGCTAGCAAACATTAATAATGGTGGTGCTGAGCAAAAGTGGGAGAGGGTGGTGTAATGGTTGGCTAAAGTGATGTTGTTAGTTGAGAGAAAATGGAAATAAAAAAGGTGAGATAGGAAATAATAATAATAATAATAATAATTTTTTTTTTAACTTTATAAAGGTTAATATATGAATTTCTGGAAAAAAAAAAATGTGTTAGTTACATCATGCACTTTGTTAGTTTAAATTAAGGCTCCGTCTGTTTTAACATAAAATATTTTACACAAAATATTTTTCTTGTAAATTGATTTTACACACTTTTTTTGTTTTTTGGTATTTGGTTGACGCTTATTGAAACAAAAATATTTTATTGCCTAATAGAAAATATTTGATTTAATAAATTATCATTTATGACTTTTTAATTAGTAAAGATATTTATTCGAAAAGGTTAAATGTGTTGAAAGGTAGTCAGTAAGAGTCAATTTTATAAAAATTAACTTATAGAATTTTTAAAGGTAAGTCATTTTTGGAAAAATGACACAAAAGTATTTTCCTTAAAAAATGTTTTACTTGTTTTTTGTTTAACCAAACAACGAAAAATGAGTAAAATATTTTTGACAAATTTGTTATATTTATGGAAACTTTAAGAGGTTGGACGTAATTTCTCAAACGTAAAGGGAGAATGTGGGTTTCTAATAAGAGTGTTGCTATTAGTACTCATCAATAATTTTGGACCCCCACTTATAAGTTGTAAAACCCTTAAAATTTCTTTTCTCTCCCAAATAATATCAAAATTATTCTTGTAAAACATTTCACTTATTCAAATACACACCTCCACACCCCATACCCTCCACACCTCAAAAAGCCTTTCTTCCAAAACCCACAATGGTGGAACCTCCCAAAATCAATGGAAAAAATTTGTGATAATTAAGAAATTTTTTCTCTACTTCATTATGAGGTTTGTCAATCTGTTTGTTTGTTTGTTTGGCTTTCTTTTTTTTTTCTTTTTTTTTTTCTATTATCTCT